AGCCCCAGTCTCCACACAATTTCCACACATTTCATGTATTCATTAGAATTAATAGACGGCGTTTCTTATTTTAACCCTATTGGTAGGGTTCTGTTCTCCTCCAGTGTCGCGGCCCCTTGTTGGTCGCTGGCTAGCTAACATCCCTAGGACACTAGCCAGCCCCATTGTAGTGCCTGTGCACTACAGCTATTCAACCAAATCGAACAGCAGTTTCAGGGACGTTTGTTGCCCGTTGAAGTTTTCTTTCTCTCACAAGGAAGTCGGGAGTCAAACACGTAAGATGGGAGGGTTGTGTTTCTGACCGTCTGAAGTGCAGCCCTTGACTCTGAAGGAGATCGCTGGCTTTGCAGTGCAGGTCAGGTGCGGGGTCACCTCGCGGTTCTATGGTGTAGCGGTTAGCACTGCGGACTTTGACTCCGCCGACCTGGGTTCAAGTCCCAGTAGGACCTTCCAATTGTGCATCTGCATCTTACAACTTTGAATCTGTTCTTTGCATCTGCTGTCAGTTGCAGGAGAGGTGCGGCAGTCGGCAAGTTCATGACATGTACCGGAGATGGCTTGCTGGAATGACCTCTTTGCTTTTGTACCGCGAGAACTACAATGGGGCTCGTTTTGTGTTCGGGTGGTTTGGGCACATAAATAGATTGAAATGCTTGACTGTGTGTAGAGCATAGGGCAAATCGTGTTATGGAGCTATTGGCAGATAATGGTGTAGCCAGTACTGCGCTACGACAGTTGAACAGATCAGCGGACTCTGAGCGTCGTTTCCCGTGGACGGCATCAGCGCGCAAGGCCTATGTGACACTCCGAAGTTTCGGTTCCTGAATTAAGATTCTGCCTTGCTGCGTGGTCAAAGAGACCGCATGAGAATGGAGTTATGTTCGCCGCCAGCGATGCAGGCCAGAGGGACCTGAAGCACGGCCCTTATAATCCGGAACTTGACAAGTTTTGTCGCACTTTGAAGTCAAGTGGAGACACACAACCAGCGTCAGACACGAGCATCAGGAAGTGTTAGACCAGCTTTTGCATTATGCAGTCTCATAGCTCGTTAGGGGTGTAGGCGTGGTAGGTGACGCCTCTACATCCACAGAATGGAGCTCGCTCTCCGTCGTTCGCCGGAAATCTCAATTAGTGAAGGAATGTTTTGCCTTCGGAGTGTGGGTGCCCGGGGCATCCCCTAAGCACCTGCGCAGAACCTATCATTCAGCCAGACTGTGTGCACGCTCATCCGTTCTGTGCATCGACGGTGCAGAAACGCGTCGGACTGCGAAACGACGTGTGTAATGCAGCCTTACCAACGCAGGCTACTGGCGCCAATTGAAGCAGCCACTATGATTACTCCCTCGCATCGTCCATCACTCATTGTTTACTGGTTGATCGACTAGGTGTACCAGTGCATTTTTGCTTTGCACACGTTAAGGTGCTTTGTCCTTCTGTGTTTCTAGCCGAAGCGATTTGCAGCAAGAAGGCGTTCAGCTCAACGCAATATGCTGCCGACCGGGGACGAGCTGCGACGCCACGCCAGCCCGACGCTGCAGCGTGTTCGTTCGTCCACGACCTGCGTCACAGCAGCGTTGTGCGAGTATTTCGATGTCGAACTAAGTCGCCCATCACATTGTGACGCAGGCGAGGGAGACAAATTCGTCACTGCGTTCTCGCATCGTTTGGCGATGCTCTCACGGCATGCCCCATGTAGTGCGCGGCGCCTACTGCTGCGACTACGGTGTTTCCTGCCCCTCTAAGAGGTCTACATACTACACCTAGCATAGCCCCATTTTTCGGTCACTATAGCTTTATTCCGTCGAAATACGACAATTTTAAAAGTGTCTCAAATCTGTCTCGCCGATTCGCTCCCTTCTCGGAGCTTACCTCCTAGATCCTAGGGGAGGTGGTCCGCATTGGTGCCGGCGCTATCGCCAGCCCCAGTCTCCACACAATTTCCGCACAGTTTACGTTTTCATTAGAATTGACTAATGGTTTTTCTTATTTTTTTCATATTGGGAGGGTCCTGTCCCCCTCCAGTGTCGCGGCCCCTTGCAGGTCGCTAGCTAGCTATCATCTCTAGGACACTAGCCAGCCCCATTGTAGTGCCTCTGCACTACAACTTCCCCTCTTGCCGGACTGAAGAGACCTATCGCAAACGCATTACTTTTGCCCTTCCAATCTCTTTGCTCTTCTAAAGCTAACGCCGTGAGCGCACGCGGTGCGCAGCGCTCCCCCCCACGTCCTCATTGAAGAGTGCGCTTGCTGCAGGCGGTGGAATGTGACGGACCCATATGTCTACGCCTCGGAAGGACCAATGTTGTTTCGAGCCTGAAGACGTCTTCGTCGGCGGCGGTGCCAAGCGCGAAGCAAAGCCGGACAGCCTGTAAGGTGGTGAGCTGGCTCCCATGTGGCTTGATCTTCAGGGGTCCCGCGCCACTTCACGGGGTACTGGGCTGCATCTCCCGAGCCGCGTTGGTCCATAATATAGTCGAGTTCGTATTCCTCTGTGGGATTGCCGGCTGCACCGTGGATAGGAGGTCAGGCGGCGTCGGCTGCCGGGGGAACCAAAGCGGGAGGGCGGGGGCGGTGGGGAACTAGCTGCGAAACGTGGAAAACGTTATGGCATTCATAAGTGAGAGGCAGAGCGAGACGGTAAGCGACAGTTCCTATGCGTTCGATGACTGCGAAGGGTCCGCGGTAACGGGGTTCGAACTTAGGGCAGCTGCGGAAAGGCGGTAGGTGCTTGCTGCTGAGCCAGACCTTGTCTCGCACCGCATACTCCACTGCTCGATGCTTGGTGTCTGCGTAGAACTTCTGCTGCCATTTTGCCTTCAGGATGTGACTCTGTGCTTTGTCGCAGAGCTGCCGGAAAAGCTTAGTCATCGGAGGAGTGAGCGTAGGAGCTAACACGCCTACGATATCAAGGTCCGCAGCAGTCAACGGGTTCTCTCCGATCATGACCTCGAAAGGAGAGAGTTCAGTGGATGAATGACTTGTTGTGTTGTAGGCAAGTTCCAAGGCCGGAAGCAAACGCTCCCACTCGCGTTCGTCAGATTTGATATAGGTACGAAGCATCTGCTCCAGTGTGCGGTTCACCTGTTCAGTTTGGCCGTTGCTTTGGGGATGGTAGGACGAGGACATGCACCGTTTGATGTTAAAGTGGCGACAGAGTTGGTTCCAAAGATCCGACTGGATACGGGGGTCGCGGTCCGATATGAGCACCTCTGGAAATCCGTGATAGCGGATAAGACGGTCTGCCAGAAGCTCCACGGTGTCTGCTGCTGTGAATGACTTCTTTGCAGGAACGAAATGAGCTATCTAGCTGAGGGAGCCGACCATGACAAGAATCGAGTCGTGCCCTGTCGTTGTAAGGGGAAGATCTGTGATAAAGTCGAGACTCACGTGCGCCCATCGACGAGAAGGGATGAGCAACTGTTGAAGAAGGCCTGCAGGCTTCTGGTTAAGATACTTTGACGCTCGACAGTGAGTGCATGACTCAACATAAGCAGTAGTGTAGGCGCGCATTCCTGGCCAGTAGTAGTGCTTGCTGAGAGCCGCAAAGGTCTTCTTCTGGCCTCGATGGCCGGCTGTGACATGGTCGGGATGTGAATGCAGAACGTGAGTAAGGAACTCAGGGAATTGTGGGACGCAGATGCGCCACAGTCCATGAACGCGGATGTGCAGGTAAGGCTGCACGTAGCGAAATGTGAATTGGCGATTACGAAACTCTATTTGCGGAGCTCCTGGTTGGTTTGCTGCGGCTTTGTAGGGAGCGCGAAAAATAGGACACTTCGAGTAAGCTTGCGGCCATTGGCGCACATCAGAAGGGTCAGCAGGTGTCTTCGTTGTAGGGTTAGGATGTTCCGCCTCTGGAGCGGCTTCCGGCGGCGAAGGTGAAGCTGCGGACGGCAGGCTGCGTCGCGTGGGTCGTCGCGAACGAATGCCGGCGAGCTCTCTGTAGTTGGCAGGCGTACCATAAGAGCGAGGAGCCGCACGCGCTTGTTCTACTGCAAGCATCAGTGGTGTCGGTGGCGTGTCGCGCGAGCAGGTGTTAGAGAGGCCGGGAAGACGAGACAAGGCATCATCCACTTCATTGCACGTTCCTTGAACATACGTGATGTGCAAATCCGGGAAGTCGGCCAGGAAGTCTAACTACCGAGCGGCGCGTCCGGGCAGAGGCTTCGATGCTTGGAATCGTTGGAGATGGGTGAGAGCTTGATGATCAGTGTAAGGCGTTACCTTGGAAACACGGAGCAAGTGCGACCACTTGTCTAGAGCCGTGGCCAACGCCAAGAGTTCCTGATCGTAGATCGAGTATCTCTGTCGTGCACGGTTCATGACTTGGCTGAGGAAGCGGGTGGGCTTGCCGTCTTGTTCCAGAACTGCTCCGATCGCATAACCAGAGGCGTCCATGTATAACTCGAAGGGTTTGGTGGTGTCAGGGACTTGTAATGTAGTGAAGTCGATTAAGCGCTGTTTGAGCTGCCGCACCGCTTGCGTGTGAAGCTCTGTCGATACGAAACCAACGTCTTTACGCGTAAGATCAACTAGCGGCAGGGCAACGTCTGCATAGTCCGGTCCCATGAACATGCGACAGTAATTTATGGTACCGAGGAACTGGCGCACTTGCGTTTCGTTCTCCAGCACCTCTGGCTAGTGCCGTATGGCTTCGATTTTATCTTCTGCAGATTTGATCCCCGCAGCAGAAATGGTATAACCCAAACATGTAATTGCTTGCCTTGCAAACTTGCATTTGCGGAATTTTGGGTAGAACTGATGTCTAAAAAAAATACTTAGGAATTGTCGCAGGAGAGAAACGTGCCCAGAGGAATCGGAGCCATACATAAGTACATTATCTACGTACGCAATAACGCCCTGTCCCAATAAAGGTTGTAGATAGGCATTAATATTGGGCTGAAACGTAGTGGGAGCACCCTTAAGGCCGAAAGGCATCACTCGGTACTCGGAGAGTCCGAGAACGGACCGGAAGGCCTTCTTCCACCGGACTTCCTTAGCCATACGTATTTGATGGAATCCTGCTTCATGGTCCAGAGCGGAAAAATACTTGGCGTCTCCCAGCATCTCCAGAATGGTTTGAATGGGAGGTAGTGCAAAATCAGGGGCTGTTGTGAGGGCATTTAGAGCGTGGTAATTGCATCTTTCGCTCCCCGAAGCCATCATCACGTTTGTCTACCATGATCGTAGGAGAGCAAATAGGCGAATAGGTCGGTCCGATCCAACCATTGTCCGATAATTTAGCTATCTCCTGTTTGTGGAATGTGT